TGCAATAAAGAGATAATTCCTCTCCTATCCAAGCTCTGTAGAAGAGCTTTAATAAAGCAGCTTAGCTTTATAGCAGTTTGTTAAGCAACAGAGACTTTATTCATACAACCTCAAAAAATTTCACCCCCATCAGCTTCATCACATACTACACTGGCTAGGCTGTCAAGTTAAAATACTTTTATTCGTAGTAGAAAACAGACCAAATTTGAAAAAAATCCTTGGAAATGTTTATTAATTTATTATTGAAAATCTGCCTTAGATTAGTTTAGTTTTGAATAAGGTATTCTGCATTCAGTGAGAAGTCAAACTTCTTACAGAACAAGGGCTAGTGAGCATCATGGAACAAGAAAACAAAACAGAACAAAAAAAAAAAAATCCAGTCACTTAAAAGCCAAGCGCAAAAAACTATTCCTAAATTACGTAAGTCCACAGAAATCCGATAGTCTTGTTTCAAAAACATCTATTACTTAGCTTGCAAGCAAATGCAGAGGTGAGGAACAAGGTATGACTCAGTAAGCTCCATATAAATAAAGAAATGGGAAGCTAAATTTATGAGGTGTTCCAAAGGACAAAACTCTTAGAAGACAGAATAAACATACCTAGGGTTTTTAGTTTTGTTTTGGTGTTTGGGGGAGGAAAAACTCCACCCCACATGAATTTTCTGGCATTCCTGAAGTTATGAACATCGATGTTTTTTGGGATGTGCTGTTTTAGTCCCTTGTTCTCATCTGTCTTATAGCTTTTGATCCAAGTAAACTGCAATCTCTGCTATTGAGGAAATTTCCACTGCTTTTGTGGCTGTCACTATGCTGATACTTCCACAAGTAAGTGATACTTCAGCAGCAGTGCTTCTGTGTAAGAAAAACTAAAGGAAACCAGAACAACACCTAGAAACAGTTCTTTAAAAGATTAGGAGATAGAAAAGTTAAGTACTTCACAAAGTCGAACATGAAAGAACATTAAGCATTCAGAAGCTGAAATGGATGAACTCACGAGGAACAGTTCCTTACATATATATGCGAATTACACTTGAAAAGGAGGGGTTCCCTGGGAGGTAAGAGGACAAGGATATCCAAAGATCTCAACTCCCTCTTTATACCATCAGTAAGAAGAGCTGTAAGCTACAGGCCAGTATCACAGCTATTGTTTCATTAAGTAAAATATCCACCTGACACTATTTTCAGTGTTACTACAGAATTGAATCTGTGAACCATAAAACTAAGACTGCAACTCACACATTTTTGTAATGAAAACCATTATGAATACATGAAAACTATTTTAATAAACTAAATCCAAATCACTCTCTTTTCACCCTTTTAAGCTGGTGACATAATAAAGTATGTGAATAAAAGTGAATAGATGACTAAAATACAGGTGCATAAAAGTCTTTCCTGAAGCTGGAATTATGTGGTAAAAAGGCTCTGATCAAGATCTAACAATGTAAACCTACATAAGCCATTCACAACTGGATAGTAACCACTGCACAGTTTGAATTACTAACGTATTACTAGCACTCAGAAGTATTTTTTTAGTATTCAAGCTGCTTAAAAGTAAAATACTGCTTCCACTCTCCATTAGCAAGCTCCTCTTTCAGCAAGTATGCATGCAAAATAAAAATCAGCAAAACATTGTAGGAAAATAAGTTTCCTAGTTAAGCCACTGTGAAATCAGTATATACATTGAGCTGTAACAGCAGATTTCAACTGACTTTCACAAAGCAAGGGAAAAACCCTAGCCCATATGAAAGCATTTATGAGTAACTTATGTACTAGAGACCACACAACTAGATTAATAAACTGCTCAGGTATCACTGGGCTGCCCATCAGATTAGTAATCAATGAAATCAAATTTTTAAGGTACAAGATCACCATGAACAAGTATGCTTCAGGAAAAGAAACCCCCACACAGAAAACATTAACAACTGTAACTAAACCAAGTAAATGGTAACTGCATGAAATTATTGCAATATGTTTTTCAGAAGTAGTTATACTGAAAAATCAAAGCTTAACAAGAAAAGATACAGACAGAAAATTTAAACAGGAAAGCCCTTCAGCCTTATATGAGAAGTTCCAGTTGGTTGTTGCTGCACTTACCATTTATGTCCTTCTTTTAAACTGAACAGTAAAAAGGGATAAGTGAAGGAAGCTTAGTTTTCAAAGCTTTTAAGAAACAAAAACAAGGATTAGAAACAATTATTATTTTCCTTCTAAATATATGGTTGCCAGAAGACTTTCATATGTTACAAGGATTATGTAACAGTTTATCAAGGCCTGAAATAGTAAAAACTATCCACCAGTATCAGAAAAAAAAGCAATTTTCACCAAGAAGCAACTTTTGAACACTTAAAACATAGAATTTTTCAGTGTATGTACAATGGTAATCTGAGACTAGAGCAATTACAGATAGTCTATTCACAGTAAACAAGTATTAGTGAGAACAAATTAAAAATAATAGTTGTATAAGAAATTCTACTAAATTGAAAAAATAACTGATGTTTCCTTTTGCAGTCTCCAGAAGTGGTTTATAATCCTCTGCTGCAAAATGCAAAGCCTTTCTCAACTCCCATTCACACTATACAATTAAATATAATTATAATAAACACCTATAAAATTGATAAGCCATGTTTGGAGTTACATAGTTGACCTTATTAGAAACAGTTGCTAAAGAAAGTAAATACATCAGTTCCAATTTTGTTTTCAATTCTTCCCCTTTGGAAGTTCAAAGGACGTGAGAAGTAAAATTCGAGTCAACACAATACCAGAACACCAAGGACTAGTCTGAGGACTAGAGGAAACTTTCAGTTTTAAATCACTGTATATGACACTTCAACTTCACATGACATTAAAAAACACCTGTACCGTATTTCCTTATATAACTTGTAACAATTTTGGTCGGGTTGGCACTGCAGAGCTACATCTATGTATTTTTGCAGTGTAATCATTAGTTCCAGATTAACACACAATTCCAGTAATGTAAACCCAGGACAGAAAGCTACATTCTCTCAAAACATTCTTCCACCTTCACCCTTCCCAAAAAGAATTTCACCACATAAGTCACAAAAATTATACATATTGTTTGAAGTGCTTTCCATTTGAACCATTCCTCTTCCCTTCTTAAACGGAATTTTTGCCATGTCTAGCACCACCAAGTTTCTATTCAGTTTGGCATTCAGAGATGCACATAAGCACAAGGATGGCCAACTGTGGCAAGTAATTCAAGCGCAGAAGCTAAGTAACATTACCTCCAGGCAGCTGCAAGAAGAAAGCCAGTAGACTGCTGTGGCCAACATTTTCTAGCTTTCCCCAGCACCAAAAGCTGCACAATAGAGGCCATCATCTCCTAACAGCAACAGCATCTGAGGGAGCTACTGCCATCTCAAGCCTGTGGGTTTGTTCCCTCACTTCCCCCTTACGCAGCTCTCTGTGTAGCAAGTAGCATGGAGTCTCACAGATCAACCACAGAAGATTTCAGACAGGTAGCTTATAGTGTCACAAAGTCAGGCCACCCCAAAAGATGCTACGTGAAGATATTACAGCAAATGAAATTTCATATTTGGTACTAGAGAAACCACAACCACTTAAGTGCTATTTCTAAGTTACATCAGACAACTGTTACATGCTAATTCACTGAGTACGTTTAAAAATAATGTAGGAACACACTGAAGGACATGACGAATCTTGATCTTCATCACACCAAAGAAAAGACATATTGAAAGCAGTTTTCTTTTACAGTGTGAGCACATACGGAAATAAATGATAGATTGTTTTCAGGAAAATCAACTGATAGCTGTTAGTAATGTCAAAGGAACAATTTTGCTTCCTCTCCCTCACCTTTACTAAGAACACTAAGGGGAGAGGATAAGGGGACAGGGAGGAGATGTCCTGCTGAGAACAGGAAATCTCTTATTTTTTAACTTCTCTTAGGTTGTCTCAGAAAATAATCTCAACTCTACAAAAAATGTTGTGGTATAGAATTTAAAGAAGGTATTTCTTCCTCAAAACACAAAATTAGAAAGTAGCTGAGAAACCAACAGTTTATTTTTATGTACCAAGCTGTACCTGTGAAAGGGAGCAAAACTGCCTCCTGCAGACTACAATGTTCTCTGTTATAAGAGAACACTGCATGGATGACTTATTGCTTCCTCACTAAGAATAGCTGTAACAGTAAAAGATATTCTTCTCATATGAAACTAAAGCATTGACCATACAGTCTGTGTTCATTTAACTGCTTTAGTTGGAGGGGGGCGGGTTGGGTGGGTGTGATTAAAAAAATCATACCCTTGACCAAAAGAGATCATGAAAATTTAGAAGCTGACTCCTCTGACACCAAGACTTCACTAGTTCTGCGAGGTGAGTCTTCAGAAGCAGAACACACCTAGAATACTAATAAAAATAATGTAGAAATTATAGCAGAGGGCAATTTTTGTGGTTTTTTTTTCCTCCACATTTCTAGTCTTTTGGTCTCCTTTAGTAAAGATTTTGAGGTTTTACTCATCCAATTTTAGAGTAGAATCTTAGGAGACACTGATTTTAGGCTCCATACGAAGTTAACACTGCCCATTTTGTTTCTGAAGTACACTATTCTTAAATTAAGCTTGTGTGAATTACTTGTTTTGGTTTATGCTTAACAGCCTGAACTGGTTTAAAATTTAAACCTTTAGTCAAAGTAGGGCATGTCTTCACAGAAACATCATTTACTCCCATGACTTCCCATCTAGAAAAATTATGTGCTTCACTGGAAAAATTATTTTCTCAAATAAAAAAGGGAATTTATTATGTGAACCCTAGTGAAGAAGTGTTATATCACCAGCTTGTAGGAAAAATAACAGCTTGTAGGAAAGATAATTACTAAATTTGTAGCACTTCACTCAGGAGAACAAGGGAATACTGAAGGAAAAAAGTAAACAAGAAGGTGGCAACTCAACAGCTACTACATAAAAATCTGACAAGTTTTAAAAATTCTTTTAACAATTCACACTCTTGCCACAGAACTTTACTTACATTGTCCATGAAATTTGGTTTGAATCCTCCCTCCTGCTGTCGTCGTAATTCCTCCTGTTCTCTCTGCCGCATCATCTCTTCTTCACGACGTCGATGTTCTTCCTCATGTCTAGAAGAGTTTTTAAAAACTATGTCAACTTAGACTCTTGACCTCTTCAGGTTTGTACTCAGCCTCAGGAGGTTAACATCGACCATATAAACAAAACTGGACATTTATTTTTTTAAGACAGTGTAAGGCACTAGCCTACTCCACCTGATGAGTTTGAATACTATTGAAGTGTTTTATCTTTTTTAACTGGAATATCAGCAAATACCAGTACATTCTATACCTGTTGTTCTGGCAACATACTGGATGGCAGGTTAAAATATTCCAGTCTATAACAAATACCTATGGATTAAAACATTTCAGTACTGCCAAAAACATATTTTTAACTCAAGAGGTGTTTGTGCTTTGTCTTTTTTCTCATCTACATTTCTTGTGATATTTAATGTAAAAAATGTAAACTCCATCAACACGATGATACTATGCCTATTTTCTTTAACTTTAGCAGAGGCATGAAAGCAAGTATTTGTATGAACAGATCTTGAAGAAAAAATTGTTTGCAACGTACCAGAATGTTATGTTCCCTTAATATACCATAATACCAAGTGAAAATACCCCAAAGTCTGTCTCATTACAGACTTTAAATTTGCAGTGCTGTTATTCCACATGCTCATAAATCTCAGAAGCATGTTTTTATCTATTATAGCTATGATTCAATCACAAGGTTAAAGTAAACACGATGGAACAAAAAAAAAAACAACCCCACACCAAATAAACAAGCAATAAAAAAACAAACGCATTATTTCACCACTATTTATAAAGCTCAAAAATTTACAACAGAACTAGTAGAGCTGAAAATAAATTTAAAACTTCAGAAATACTTGAAACCATTCTTTTATATTAGTCAAAGTGATCACTTTTCAAGAATATTGAAAGAATCATCACGTACTATGCTTTCCAAAAGTAGCTTTTTAGCAGGAGAAACATTTTTATCTGACATCAAAAGCAGGCTCTACAAGCTAGAGGATCTAAATTCATGCAAGCCTACAGCAGCTGCATCCCACACCTTTGCACAGTAGAAGAGAAAATACCTCAATTGGATCTGCTTGCGTTTTTGAAGTTCTTGATTTCGAAGTTCTTCCAAACGCCTCAATTCTTCTTGACGTCGCATAAGATCTAACATGATTAAAAACGCAATAAAGATAAAAGCTACCAATAAACAATGTGGCAAAACATAAAAATTGCTAATACTGTTGGATTCCAGTTCTAACATTCCATTTTAAAGCAATTTCTCAAGACATTCAACTAGCTTCTTCCCATAAAGCTAAGTCTAGTAGTACATGAAAAAACCACACTGCATGCATAGCTCACAAACACAAAAAGGTACAGGACTGGCAAAGCCTACAAAACAGGTTGCAGAAACAGAAATCTGAAGTCCTCAAACAAAGAAAAGGAGAAAAAACTTTAAATCTCTTAATCGCATCCTGGTTTCACATCTAGAGCAAGGAATCAATTTTCTCACAATGCTGTGTACCACTAAAGTCACACTAACAAGAAAACTAGTAAATATATATGGGCTTACACTCTCCACTACCTACTGTAGACCACTGTATGACATGCATCAGAAAGAAATTATATGGACTTCAGGTGCATGTAATACAAGCTTTGCATGACTGCTGAGAGCAATTTATAAAGGACTAATCTTTTAACACTATCAGAAAGGAACAGCTGTATCCTCCTCAAAATTCAAAAACACTTAAAATACACATATAAAACAGGGTGCAATTAATAGTCATTACTTTTTCTGTACTGGTTTCTGCCCAGTCACATTACTGATTTCAACCTGGAAATATGTGTTTTATTCAATGAATATTAATTGTACCTTTTGTTAGAAAGCAGGTGCTTGCCTTTTCTATTTCATAGGATATAGGCCACATAACTTTATTTATAGACACCAAGAGAAACATTCACCTATACCACCTATTTTATGCCTTTATTCAATTGAATTATTCACGCATTTCTCCATGCATTTCTTCACTGTATTAATTAAACCATCATTTTATAGCTATTCAGATTGCTTTCCTCAAACTTCCACCAGCATGTATTATTACTTACATATTATAACTTAGCTTTTTACTTTAATACCCAAAACAACTACAATGACCAGTACATTTCATCAAAATGACATGGATTTGTTTTCTTTTCTACTAATGAGGACTATCAGATTTTTACTCTCACAGCACTCTTCGTGCCATTAGAAGTCCTTCCTCAAGCACATTTTGCAGGCTTTTTTTTCCAATCTCTTCTGCAAAATTAATGCATTTCACACTTCAACAGAATATGATTACATTGGAGATTAATTTGAATCACAAAGTCCAAGGGCAGCTTCATTCTAACTGTGCTTGCCTAAGAAGGCTTCGCCACTGTTATCCTGACACAAGCGCCACAAGCACGTTTGTTTCGGTGATTGTGTGGGTTTGTGGGATTTTTTGGTTTTGTGGTTTTTGTTTGGGTTGTTTGTTTTGGGGTTTTTTGTTGGTTTTTTTTTGGTGGTGGTGGTTTTGTTTGTTTTTAAGTAATCTTTAGATTATTTCAGAGTATAAGTGCACTATGCTCTTTTAAAATTAACCTTTAGGTTGTCTCAGGGTATCACTGAGACCAAAAACTGACCCAATCTATGCTCAATTTTGTCCCTTCAGGGAAAAAAAAACATTTCATTTCTGGTTCTTTGTACTTTCACATTCATGCAGCTCTCCCTTTTTCTTGGATTAATAGAGTGGCACAGGATCTCTTACTTTCTCTCTACCACTACATTTACCCAACCTGTATTTTCAGCACTGAGGCATCTTTTCCAGTATCAAACTTATGACCAAAATTTTAAATGTGTCAAATACAAAGGGAGGGGGCCTTTACTGTGTATTATAGGCATTTTTGTTCTATCACATTAACATCCATATTCACCACCTGTAAGATATAACTATCCTTAACATGCAAGCCAATAAACATTTTTTGCTTGGAAAATAGTCCAAGAAGCAACTTGACAGTTGCCATTTCAGGTGCTGCAATAACTATTTAGCATTTCAAAACAGTTTTTCATTTTACTATGCGGTATATTTTGTCTTTACATAAGATCTTTTTTAACACACTAAAAGCAAGCATGCCTGTTTCAGAAAACCAGGCTAACTTTCTCCTCATGACAACTTGAAGTTGCCATAGATTTAAGAATACTACATAAAAAAAGAAATTCCTCCTTTTCATTTCTTCTCCAGTTATGACAATGTTTTAAAGGAGATTTTAAAAGGACTGTGTTTACATTCACTATATCGCAGCATTTAGGTTCTTAAATGCCACCAACCTAGTAAATACCCTAATCCAGCTCATTGAGAGTTTTTCAACATGACATTCAAGTCAGCAGAAAAAATTATGATAAATCATTCCCACATGGGGAAGTTGTACTACCAACAAAAATGTCATTTCTTAAGAGTAAGCATTAAAACCAAGTAATTGCAGCAGGCAGCTTGTATGAGTTACCTGGGTTTAGGTTTTGAAAAGCATCCACTACAAATTCAAATCCTTCATAATGACAAGGGACTTCTATTCAGGCTATCAAGCCAATTGCTGTCTTACGATCTAACACTTTAGGGGCAAGATTTTTTTTTTGGTAGTCATGACCTCCCTTAAATTAAGAACAAAAAACAAAACCAAACACAAAAAAAAACACACACACACAAAAAGCCCCTCCACACCACAAACCTTCAGTGTTTCATTCATGCAGCAAACCTTGAGATCCTTCCTGATACATCTGCAATGTATTTAAACTTTATTGCTCGAGTCTTGCAATTTAGCAATCCTACAGAGGGAACTAAAAATCAAGTAGTAGTTCTGTATTTCTTGAACTGGAAATCTGTGCTTGCACATCCACAGCATTTCAGGAAAAATGTGCTTTGGGCAGAAGGTTAACAAGAACAAAAGAGCAGATAACTTGCCCTGTTACTCTGCCCAAGAAACACAAGCTCCACCCAGCTCCATTCTTAAAGGCAGGGCTTGAAAGCAATTCCTAGAAAACTTCTTCCCTGACAACACTAGCAGAAGGCAAGATGCCCAAACAATTACAAAAGAGGGGATATATGATCTTAAAATTTCAAGAACGACTGAAATTCATGGCAACTGTGAGCTATTTTAAGTTGTTACATACATATAATATTATGCACACACCAGACTTTTCAGCTGGGTCTCTAAGGGAAAAAGAAACAGCATTAGCTACTAGAAGATCAGAAATTATACCTGAGATGCACAGAAGAGCCAAAAGAAGTATGAGCTATCATTTTACTTTTTCCTGCACATAGCCCATAAACAGTACTTGGTCCTACCTAGCAACACCAAAAATGTAATTTTACTGATAGGTGCGAAACTACCATTCAGTTTCTTTAAACTACTTAACAATACATAAATTTAAGAATAGACCTAGACAATTGCCTCTTACTCAGTTTCCTAACCCATGTCTATAAATCATCAAGGAATATGTGCAAGGAGATATACAACTTCCTTTTTCTCAGTTCAATGCATTTAATAAAAGACCATCTGACAAAATACGTAAGTTTAACATACAGCTCCATATACTACACAAAGAAAAGCTGTGACAAAACAAAATACTAGTAGATATCTGATTTTACCTTGCCTCATCAGCATTAGCTGATGCTCATGTCTAGCTGCTTCCATTTCTGCCTCTAGTTTCTCTTTGGCTTCTCTAATGTTCCTGTCAACCTGTTCACGCTGTTGCTTTTCCATCTCATCAAGAGCCTTCCACCGTGAAGCATACTCAAACTCAAATGTTCCAGGCTGAGCAAAACGTGGAGGCTGTTCTCTTTCCCTAATAAAAATTTTGCAGTTAAAATGTACAGAAGGACACATTTAGATCAACAGCTGTAACAGCCAAAGAATCTATAAACAATCACTTCAAGTGCAGGTCTGACTTTAAATCAACCTGTCAGATGACTACATTCTAAACCAGGAAAAAGTTTAATTCAGCTGGAATTTTCCAAATAAAGATCTGTTCAATTTATGCAGTTTTAAGGTAAAAATTCATGTCTGCATCAGCACAAAATACTAAGGTGTAACACTAGATTAACTGTGTTCGGCTTTCTAAAGAAACCAGTCAATTCATAAAATCATTTATGTACATAAAGCTTACTAGGCAGCTCAGAGTATTAGCCAGGATCTCTAACTATTAAAAGGTGTCAACATTTTATTTCACATTCTAACACTAATATTGCAATGAACGGTGACAACCATTTTTTAAAAGTGGTATTCTACAGCCTCACCAAAATAGCTTTTTAGCTTCAAGCAACACAACTTCTAAACTCTAATCAAACTTCAGTATTAAGAATTATCACGAGGTGGATGTTAAGTCACCCAATGATCTAGACTAACTTCCTCATACCATACTCAAAAGTTTTATCTGAACTGTGGAAGCTTCCAGGATTTATGCTCCACTGACTCTATAAACAGCTAAGGGGCTATTCAGAGCTATTCAATTTGTGTGTATACAAATCTCTGGAGGATAAGACCACAGCCCTAATCCATAAAGGACTTCTTGCTTTGCTGAGAAGCTCCAACTGATTTCAGTGTAGGCTAGGATTGTATCTACTTTAGTAAATGCACAGAATGTTAAATCAACAAGTCTTAATGATTAGAAAATACTGGCAAAATCCTATTTAATCATTTGATACAAAACAGCACAACATATTCCCGCTACACAAACTCAATACTAGAAATTAGCATCTGTTTACCATGATAGTTAAATACATCAATCACATTTTATAAAACAAAGCTAAACACAACTTACTTGTGATACTGTTGTGTTTTTTGCATTAGCTTCTCTGGGAGCCCATCTTCATCATCAAATTGCTCCATTGGCTCTACAACAACAGGTCGAGGTGTTCTGGAAGACATTTTCAATTTAATAATTGAATCATAGATGAGGAAGTTAGTTATTTTAGTATTTTTAGGAAAACACTTCAGAAAGCTAGTATGTTACCTGTAATTCTTGGCTTCCAAACTCTTATATCACAGAATTTAAATTAATCCTGATTTTAAGAATAATCTTTTAAAAGGATTGTTTCTATGCCCAAAACCAGCTCTTCTGCCTAGAAATTGCAATTTACTTGCTGTTTGCTTAAAAGTTAAGATTTTTTTAAAAATCTCAAAACCACTTACAAACAATTACAAGATATTTAGGAAGGAACTACCTTTTTGTTTTCATCACCGAGGCAACACATGGGCCATGATCATGTTAGGAAAGCACCAAACAAACCCAGAAGAGAGCAACAAAACCTATTCTTATTTCCACAGAATATTAAAAATTACATTTTTAAGTTACTCTACAACTGAAACAAGACTGATAATCTGGCGTTAATATTTCAGTGATAATGAGCAAACTATTTCTGCTTAAGTTATTCAAAAACCATTCTTTGAACAATCATACTCTCACAAATCAGAACTTAATTTATCTATGAAAATACCTTCCTTGAATTCTTACTATCTGTAGCAATCAGAGGCAAGTATTAGCAGTACTGCCAAGGACAGCAGTATAAGGATCCTGAATTGTGCAAAACATCTCTGCATCAGTCTTGGGAGCATAGCCTATAACCTAATGTAAGAACTAAGGACACTATTTTCAAAATGCCAGTGCTTATTTATTGTGTTCCACACCTTTATTTCACTTTGAAGATCTTCTTGCAGAAAAAAAAGAATCAGTATGTTTTTAGAACATTAACACCTGACAAAGAAAACTTTGGGAATAGCATGCAGTTTTAAAAGATTAAGCCTGGATTCACAAAACACAAGTCAGCAACTGTTTTTCCTGATGTTTTATCTGCATGGCAATTGCTGGCAGTTGTTACTTAAATGCAACTCAACTGTGGTGTTAATGAGTTATGATGTAAAAAAAGAATTTTGAATCTCTAATGTTTCCAATGCCTAGCTTTGATATATTTAGACCATTTTTTAGACCGTATTTAGAATTTAAGTATTTTCTTACGATCAGCCAAAGAGCTTTCAGCTAAAAATGTAGTTTTAGATTCTGAAGCAAAACATCAAAGTATCATGGCAGCAGATTCATGCTAATTGTCTTTGCAACTGCGCCATCCGGAACATGTCAGCCACCTAAGCAAGGGAAAGATCAAGCGCTTTTTATTCACCCAGGCCACTGTTAAGATGGTTATTTCAATCCAAGAAATCTATACAGTTGTTAAAAGAAGAATACCATTCTTCATATCCTAGCTTCTTTCTCCCTGCCCCATCTCTCATGCCAAGAATAGCATTCATGTAACTCTCAACTAGATCAGTTCCCTTGTTTGGCTCACCATGCTTCTATACAAATACTAATGCCAAAGAAAACCCAGGGGATAAGAACAAATTGCTGGCACCTACTGATAAGAGCAAAGGCATATTCAGACTAAATTTACCATGTAGCCACCAGGTCAGTTCAGTGGCACACTGAAGATTTAGGAGGTTATCATGAGAAAGAGGAGTTTCAGACACTTTCCCCACCTGAGGTATCCTGGCAACATTTTCTCCTGCCCTATCCTCTGCTGGACCTGACAGCACCCGTGTTAGCAAGCACCTTTATATACAAAAATGAACCCGACAAAACCAGCTGAATACTTTTCTGTTGTTTCAGCAAGCACAAGTGGCTTATGGAAGTATCAAAGAGTTCTAAGTGGATGAGAGATCAACAGCACAGCCAGGGCAAGAAAAGAAGCTGAACTAAAAGTTCCCTAGTTTGATCACAGAATCATAGAATAGTTAGGGTTGGAAAGGACCTTAAGATCATCTTAGTTCCAACCCCCCTGCCATGGGCAGGGACACCTCACACTAAACCATGCCACCCAAGGCTTCGTTTGATGGCAGCAAGCTTCCATCCTGTGAAACTAAAGCTTTATTTTCCAAAATGAGAATCAGAAAATATTTTCTTTTTAAAATCCTGAGTGTACCATTTCACACAATCTTTAAGAAAGCAGTTAAAAATGTCACAAATGAATGTGTTAAAGCATAGGAGTTAACAACTCTCTCTGGCTCATGTACAGAAATAGAAGATGCAAGAAAAGTGCTGTAATTTGCAAGCTTGCTTGCCCTTGAAATACAGTTTCCCAGAGATCATCACTGCCATAAACTCCTGCATAATCTAAGGCTTCAATCTAAGTCTTCATTTATCAAAAAAAAAAAAAGAAAGAAAACAACAAAAAAACATCAGTGTACTTCTGCCTTTCAAGCCACAAATAAAACTTTTGATATAGAAATAAATGCAGGAACAGCTCCCTGAGTTTAAGGAAGTATCAGCAACGTAGTGAGTGTGCTGTTCAGCAGCTAGTTACTAGGATCAGGAAGAGTGCAATCAATGAAAATAAGTTTTACTAGAAAAAGCCCTAGTATACAGAGAAATAATACTGTACATAAAGGAAAAGGAAAACTTTGCTATCGGATTCTTGTAATTACAAGTCCTAAAAACAGTAAGCAGCAAAAGATGGTTTTCCCTACCAGAAACAAAAAACAAACCCACCACCCGCAAAAAAAAAAAAAAACAAAACCAAACAGGCGCATTTGGTATATTCATGTAAAATAGCTTAATTTTTCACCTCACAGCTTTCATAACTGAAAATTAAGAGCTAGGGGATAGCCATGAATGGTTTTCTTTCACATCAGAAATACACAAATTCAAATAAAATCCTGTGAACTTACGTTGTTAGCAAGAATGCCCCATCACTGCATCTTTCTAGAGCTTTTCGCGCTGGAGGTTTTGCTGCAAACTCTACGAAACCTTTTCCTGTAGCTCTGCCACGATCATCTACTACAACAACAGCTCTTTCCACTGGCCCAAATTGAGAGAATGCTTGTTCCAGCAGCTCATTAGAAACCACAGGTGACAGATTCTTGACTGTTAGGGCAGCTCCATGTGTAGCAAATCGAATTCGAAGTGGTCTGCTCTTCAAAATAGTACCATCAAGTTCCGCCTTTGCTATTTCAGCCAGTGTCCTAGATTCCTTTTTCAAGATTGAAAATAAAATACATCAAGTATTTTCTAACAAAACAGATAAGGCTTTTGTGTCAGTGACCCATCCCCTACATCTGAAAAGCAGGGTTTTTTTTCCTTAACTAGCATCAGGGTCGTTCAACTTCCCCCACCCACCAAGAGAAAGGCGGAGTCGCTGTTCACTGATGTTAAAAAAAGCCCCTGGGATTTATTCTTTAGAAAAAACGAACAAAAAAACCCCACACACACCATAGGCACAAATTGTTGTCAACAGCGTGTTAGACTTAAATTCTCATTATGATGGATACGTTTGTGCTGCTCCGTAAAGGCTTTCCGTAGAGTTGAAAGCCTGATGATTTTTCATATTTACACACTCAAATGTTGATATTCTGCATCCCTGCCTCTACACAGTAGGAAACAACATTTTCAAAGATCAGACTACAGGATCTAAGGTGTTTTTTGTTTGGGTTTTTGTTTTGTTTTTAAATAACAAAAGTATGACACTTGCTTATTACAACTGTGAGATGAACTCTCAACGGATGTCCAATTTCAAAATTCAACAAATGATGAAATTTCCTTTGCTCATGTATTCATTATTCTCACATTTATGGGTTTTCTGCACCCACATCCAAGACACAGTCTGCATCAGTAATTGCCTTTTTTCTCATTTCAGAGATTTGTAGGTAGCTTGAACTTGCAACTCCTTACATTTAAGTTATTCTTTAGATCCTAGCAATTTTCTCCAGAATTCAGCTGACTAAACTGTTGTAAAATAACATATTCCCTAAACACAATGGAAAAGCTGCGTATATAGAAGCTGTAACTACCCTATATTACATCCGAAGTGAGTAGTGACATGTAAATATATCACACTTCCTCCAGAAAATTGCTATTTCAGGATGGGGGATTCTTAGTTTAAAAGATGTATGGCAAAACTCCACAAGCACTTATCTTTCAGACGACCAAGAAGAAAAAATATCCTAACCAGTAAAATATACAGAAAAATCCTAAGTAGACACCCAAAGCACTCTAAAGCTATTCCCAGGATGATGTAAGCGCATTCTAGACACGGCAGACACGAAAAAGACTGATCTTGCACACTAAATAAGCTTTTCACATGATTCCTTTTTTGCATGCTTGAGCATAGCGATTAAACATTTTATTACCCTTAAAAAAATCTTATCTAGACCAAGTAATTCAAACAACTCAAGGTCTCATTTCTTTGCAATTCTGAGATTACATGTTCTGATTTCATGTGTGAGCAGTGGTATTTCGAAACAAACCTTTAAAATTGACTGTTTTCATAAACAAAACCTACATTCATAATGAACTGCAGAGGCTGAAATGTGCTTCTGCATTAAGAAGGATTTTATTTTTTTTTCCCTAGTTCGAAAGTATGTTAAGTTCTCCCAGTTAAATTAGGGAAGTCTTTATGCAGGTATTACAAGACCAAAGCAGATCGCGCAGCCACGTCTTCCATCCACTGGAGAAGCAGAAGCTGCAGGAGTGCATACCCGCGTAGCAGCACGTAAACGGTAACCGGCGGAGGAGCCCTTAAACCAGCCGGATACCACGCAGTGAGGTGGGGACCCGAACCCGAGGGGCTGGGAAGGCTGCTAGCAATGCAGGCCTCAAGCTTGAATATACGGAGGCAAATAGGGGAGGGGGAGAAGGAAGAGGAGGCGAGGAAACGGCTCTAGCAGCAAGGAGAGAAAATGAAGGACCCTTGCTTTTTTTTTTTTTTAAAGCCGTCCGCCAAGGAAAGGCGGGGAGTGGTTGGGGGGTGTAGGAAGGGGGAATAACGGGCAGAATTCTCCCACTTGCAAAGGCAGCCCCTGGGTTACGGGGAAGCCATAGCGGCTCACGCGAATCCTCACCAGGCGAATGAAGCCAAAGCCACGGTCCCTGTTGATGAAGACCTCGCTAGGCTCCCCATAGCGTTCGAAGAGGCGCTTGAAATCTTCCTCTGTGATATCGGTAGGCAGATTCCCCACGAAAAGCCTGCAGCGTTGCGTGTAGCTCTTCTCACCAGGTTTGAGGAAGCTTTTGATGTCGATGGTGAACCCAACCTCCTGCTCTTCATCTCCACCTTCTTTGCTCGGCACTAGCGCCATGGCCGCCGCTGCCTCACTTTCTGTTTCTAGGCCCCGCAATCCCTTCAGGTTGCCGCTGCCGCCACCACCGCCCCCCACCATGCCCAGCGGCGCCGCTGGGGAGCTATTCTCGATCCGCACTTGCTTCAAGTTCCTGTTCGCTGCCATATTCAGAACTCGCTCCCTCCTCGCTGGCTTTCTCGGGGAACGCGGAGCTCCCTCCAGCCACCACCGCCCCCGACCCTCAGCCAGTTCAAAATGGCGCCGCCGCCAACCTCGGCGAGTTGTAACGTCCCTGAGGCACGCCCCGCCCACTGCCGTGCGCGTTGCTCTCCCTGCCGCGGCTCGCTGCTGGCGTGGGGAGGGGTGTGTGCATGTGTTGTTTTGTGCGGCCGCGGGGCCGCAGTGGGTTCCCATGGCGTCTGGCGTTTGTCAGGTGGTGATCTCCTTCGGTTCTGGCATAGAGGCCGCCCTGCTTCAAGCCGGGAGAGATCGGCCTATCTGTCGCGTACCAGTGAGCTGCACTGCTTGAGCGGATAACCCGCCCAGAAGATCCCCTGCTGCACCCTGGTAGCTCGACTCCGTCGGTGGTTGGCCCTCCCGCAGCTATATTGTATTAGAGTTCTCGGAAGTGTTCGGGTCCCGCAAGGTTTGCCACAGTTCGTCCCCAGGCGGTGCGACCTGACGAGTGGCAAGTCCCTGGTGCAGTGTCTGGTTCTGGTCGGCTGAGGCGGCTGCTGGAGGGCGGATGGGGAAGGCCTGAGGTCTGCGGAATGGCACGGGAGTGGAGGAAGGACCTGCAGGCAGAACGGGGAGATCGTTCACCGAGTGAGATATGGAGATACAGCTGAGTGGGGAGAGACCTTGTTACATCTGCTACTCACAGAACAATTTCTTACACGGCAACAGCTTTCACTATGAAGGTGATTACTTTCTTCTTAGAGGTGCAAAGTCAAACATTTCCTTCCTTGGGCACCCCTTCTTGTATGTTGGACCACATGTCTTATCTGCAGCATAAGACTATGTTTTCTCTCTTGCCTGCTAGACGCCCAGTTCGTTGTTTTGATCTCTGTGCTTCAACCAGCAATTCAACTGGCACATGGTTTCTCAGACAAAGAGCTCATCAGTCTGCCTGAGGCCTCATAGAATCCCCCTTCCCCCTCCTCCCTTCGAGAAGGGAGAAAACGGATAATCGGTTCGTCTGTTACTGCTATAGTAGTCTGAGGGCCTCAGGAGCCCATGTAGCTTTGCATTACACAGCAGAACTTCTGGACAATAGAGCAAGGCTTCAGGAGAAAATTACTGTTTTCTTATACAACACTGAAAAAGTCCACTCTCATGGTTTCTCAGGAAAAGGTTGTTCCTACAACGGGTGAATCCACTGCTCAGGGATTTCCTTGTCCACTGGGGAATATTTTAGGTTGCTCTGTCCTTCTGTCTTGTTTTTCCACCTGAGGCACAAGAAAAATCTCGGTCCCTTTTGTCCTGATTCTGAGTTTGTACCAGAATGGAGAAAACGTTAAGTTCCCAGACAGCATTAATTACTTTATCAGCCACCCCTTTCCCAACACACTCCTGCGTGTAAGGCATCAAACTAAACCGAGATTTAAATTGCTGAAAATCACAAAATACAGCTGGTAGCGGAGGGGTATTTACTCCCAGCAAAGGCAAGAATTCAGGCAGTGTAGGAACACGAGGGAGGTACTAGAGCAGCAGTATGGGACCACTAAAGCTTAATCACCTCAACTGCCCAAGAGCTATGAGTTGTAGTATATTTAGGATTCAGTAACTGCTGTTAAGACAAAAAAAATGAATCAACAATTTACAGCAAACCAATAGATTTTTTAAACTGGAAAGCATGTAACTGGAGTGCAGTATATGTTAGCAATCATGTGACTATACACTGTAGAGTGAACCTCAGTAGATGGGAAAAAGGAGATCAATAGTAGTAGTCAATGTATTTCCAGTGCTGTGTAATAAAATTGCTATGGTTTTCCGACACAGTTTAAATCAGGTTAGAAATAAAAGCTACAACCATTTAAATATACAACCATGATTTCCTGTGTAGTATAAAATAATCAATAGGAGGAGCAAGGAGTGTTTACAAATTCCATATTATTTTTACCTTTCCTTTGTTGTAGCAGCATTTCAGTAGTAAATGATAGTCCAGTAAAAGAGATTAATAAAATTCCAACTTCCAGAAATGAGAAAATTATTAGTATATCTGAAGAAAATAAACAAAATATTCTGCATGTTTATGCATCTATAGCTTACCTTCGTTAGTTATACTCACAGTATAGCCATAATGCACATACTTGCCCTGGTTTTAAACTTTGTTGAGCAGGAGCTATTTGCAGATGCACCACAGTCAAACATTTTAGGGTAATGTACAAAAATCCCCTAATACCTGCTATTGTAAATCACTTCCAATATAACTTCCAATCACAATATATCATTTCACATTTTACTCATTCATCAGAACACCACCAGGCAGTTCATCTCCTGCCTAACTGCTGGGAGTCTTAGTGGCCTGATGATTGCTACAGCTTGCCACTGACACCAAATAACAAACTAAACATTTTGAAAGGAGACAAAATGAGCTGCTTGAAGTTCTTGTTCCAATGCTTTCCTTCTGTTATAAACATGCACTTAAATTTTTATGACTTGCTAATTGCAACTTACATTCATGGGAAGAGTTCTGCTAGACTGTTCCAGCCATTCTCCATGGGTTTAGTATTATGTTTAATACTTCGTTTGCAGTTGAACTACATGAAAGCAATTTCAGAAGACTGGGGGAATAATAGTTATGATCACATAGTGATTTGGTTTTACTCTTAATTCTTGAAGGTTTTTCTTTGGAAGCCTGAATTTATTAAACTTGATATTCAAAAGGCTGCAATGGACAACCCTAATTTTATACTAACAAAGTTTGGTTTGGCCTGGAATTTATTTTAAGACCTTGAAGGGGTCACAACTTCTTGTATTAGTAGTATACCACCCTCATGTGTGTTACTAGACTCCCTTTTTTGACTCATGTAGCCTTGGATTAATGATCTTGCAAGTGGTGGTGTCTTTAAATACAATATTCATAAATACAGTATTCTGCACATTCATGGTTGTCTGTAGTACAATCACTATTCGCGTAAGGACAAGAACACTTTAGTCGCAGAAAAGAGGAGCAGAACTGTAAAAGACACTAGTATTTTTCATTTTTGTCAGCTACAGAGAAAGGTTCTGTTTGGTGTATGCCAAAGTGCTAGCACTACCAAGAAATTTGGGTGTACTTCCAAAGCATACACCACCCAACCTTGTGCCGTATGAGACACAGTCAGAAGCAACTGCTCTAGTTATTTTCTGTATCACAGCATTACTTCCATACCAAATAACAGGATGCTGCTTAAAATCAGGGAGGCCTCAGACCTTTAAGTCATGACAGCTTTTTTGTGCTTCAGACTTGTAAACAGTACACCTCTTGATCTGCAAATAAAAATCCTGAACTATTTGTGTTTGCCCTTGAAGAACTTCAAAGTGATTGCTTGGATAACAGCACTCTCAGGGTAACAGTTGTATTAGTGCTGAAGTCAGCTTCTCAGCATAGGCAATTGTAGTTTACCGCTCAAGACGTCTTTGGACTCCCAGGTTTATTTGCCTTCCTAGAATCTGCAATGAATCACAGTTAGGATCAGTACTTGTAACAAGCTACAGTGGTAGATCATGACAGAATATACCAGGAAGCACTAAAACTAGCATTAAGTAAGGATGGAGGGGAATGTTCCATTTCGGATGAGAATTGCCATATGGGAAAGCATGAAATTCCTCACTGAAAAAGGGAATGCAGTAGGCAGTGGCTGATGGCCTGAGGCTGGGATCCTATTAAGAAATGCAAAGCCAGGGAACTGAGGCACACCTCTTTGCAGGATCTGACACAGGTGGGAGCTGCTGCTGCTCTTCATCTCCTGACAGCATTTGCTGGCAGTATTACTAATGGCAGTGTCTGGACAAATTAAATTTAGAATAGGTTTTGGTCTCTCTTTTCTTACAAGGTTAAATTGGCAAAGAGTATTCAAAGCACTAGCTGTCATAGCTGTGCCAGCAACCCTGACGGTACAGACATCACGGTGTGGAGAAGTAGGTGCTTAATGCAATCCGAAGCAGTGATGCATACTTTGTCATTGTCTGAGGATGACCTCATTATGCTACTACTTGGGCGTTACGAATGGTAAGAAGATAATGTCATTGCAGTGCCATCTGGTGATAAATACTAGAATTATCACTAGAATTTAATAGAATAAATCAAGTGAAAATAAAGACAGAAAACCTACAATAGAATTATTTCTCTGGTCCCAGATGGACAGAATGGCTTGGATTTTCTACTTTTAAACCTGGTGGGCAAGGTTCTTTTCTCTAGTCTCCTCAATATTATCCTAATCCAATAAGATAGAGTCATTGTTTTTACATGGAGAGAAATGTATATGAATCACATTTGTAAAATAATCTGTAAAACCTAACCTAATACACATTCACCTACATGCCTGGTATAGATTTTTTTAATTATATTAACCAAGTATGAGAAGTCAGTGTTCTTTAAAACAACAATAATCTCAAGGAAACAAGGACTGAAAGCATGAGAATGTATTTGTGAAAGTATACTTGTCAGATGGGCATTTAGGCTTGACAGAAGTTAACCTAACTTTTCCAAAATTACTTTCCCCACAAATATAACCAATGCATACAATACACTTCATTTTTAATATTTTTCAGCATACTGTCTTTGCCTGTTCTTTAAAAGAGTGACTGTTAACTACTAAGGCAAGCTGGAAGTTAAAGCCTTAAAAAAGCATTCCCCAAATATATTCAGTCCTTAATTTATCTCCAAAGAACCCTTTGGTGTACTGTCAGCACATCAGACAGTAGAGCTTCCTGACAGGCAGTTACAGCCTGGGGTTAGGTTAGAAGGAAGCAGCAGTTTGTGTGGAACAGTTAAAGTGACTGGGAGAGACTCAGAAGGGCTGAGCTCCTAGCCCTGAAAGTAAGTAGTGCCACAAACATGTTTTATTCAGGCCATTTGCTTCCAAGCAGTTTAACACAAACTCAGTTTGTAGTTGCAATTTGCCATCAAGCTGGACAATTAGCCCAACCAAAATAGCCCACAGGACCCATAGGCCGCCTCATTTGCAGTCTTCATTGGGTGTACTTGTCTTTCTCTAGCCCCATGAAGCCTCTCTCTTCCTCTGAAGTCCTAATGTTACACGATGCATGTGAACAAACTTTAACCGGTCTCTAGTGCTTTAACCCTGATATGAGCTGATAAAAACTGCA